GATAGAATTTTAAATTTTTGGACAGGGAATCTTTGGATAATCGATTATCAAGCTTTGATAATCGACTATCCTGTGTCCCTGAAAAATTTGTCTTCATCCTGTTGGAAATTCTAGCAACGGGTTTATCCCATTTTGGGCTATAAAATGGCACCCAAATCCTCTCATTTTAAACACAATTCTTCAACATTTCAATACTCTTTCATTGCATAAGCATTCCTATTTTTTCTTAGCTATTTGAGAGCCAATTCTTGAAGAAATTGTCGTGTTCTTGAGCGTTTACTAGTTCACTCATATCTACTCTTTGTGAGATTTTTATTCCTGAGTGTTTAAGTGTTTTCATACACTTTAAGGGGGGTTGTTCCCTTGTTGTAAACTCGAAGGAAGTTCCTTGTTCCTTCGTGAGAAGTCTTGGAGTGCGGTATCTCCAAGCAAAGGTGTTGAGCGTGTGACTCGGGTTCTCGAGTTGTATCGCTTTGTTAAGCACCCTTAAGCTTAACGGAGTTAGTGTAGCTCGAGAGAGTCTCTCGGGGGGCTGGATTAGCCACACGTTGTGGTGAACCAGGATAAAATTCGGTGTGCTCCTTCCTTATGCTCTTTACTTTAACGATCTCGTTTTTAATTTCCTTCGATTTTGTTTTAAACGCTATTCACCCCCCCTCTAGCGTTGGGCCTTTATTCTAACAATTGGTATCGGAGCCTTACTCTCTGAAAGACTTAACCGTTTGAGAAAAACGATCAATGGCTTCTACTCAAAACTTATACGCAGGTTTAGGAGAAGGGCAATCCACCACGAGGCCTCCATTATTTGATGGAAAAAATTACACATATTGGAAGGAGTGAATGAGAATTTTCATCCAATCCAACAACTTTCTCTTATGGAGAATTATCAAGAATGGGGAAGAAGTACCAATGAAGAAAGTTGGGGAAACCACCGTTCCCAAAACCGAAGACGAATACGAAGCGCAGGATATCAAGAAAATAGAGAACAACGCCAAGGCTATCAACATTCTTTATTGTGCAGTAAACCCGGATGACTACCGGAAGATCTCTTCTTGTTCCACCGCCAAGGAAATGTGGGACAAGCTAGAAATCACATATGAAGGTACGGATCAAGTCCGAGAAGCTAAGATAGATTTTCTAACCCATGAGTATGAACTATTTCATATGAAGGAGAACGAGAAAATCGACAATATGTTTGAAAGATTTTCAAAAATCGTAAACGATCTTCATGCTCTCAAGAAGACATACACGGACAATGAGCTTGTAAGAAAAATCCTGCGGAGTCTCACACCGGAATGGCGCTCCAAAGCCGATGCTATCCAAGAATCTATCGGCATCACAAGTGTCACCATTGACGGACTTAGAGGTAACCTCAAAACCTATGAGTCTACCATTCATTACCCCTCTTTAGGTGAACAAAATAAGAATGGGATTGCACTCAAGGCGTCCACAAGTCAAGAACGTGATGTGGAGGACTCGAGTGACAAAGACGAGTTTGGGATCGTGCTCAAGAAATTCCATAAGTTCATGAGCCAAGAGTATGAACGGAAAGGAAAGAAGCAAGGAAGTCCACCCAAATGCTATGGGTGTGGAGAAGTTGGGCATATAAAACCAAAATGTCCAAACGCGAAGAACAAGAATAAAATGTTCAAGAAGCACCGAGCCTACATCTCATGGGGAGGTGATTCTGGCGACGAGTCATCGAAAGGCGAAGAAAATGAGAGCGCCAACCTTTGTCTCATGGCACACGAGGAACCACCGGAAGAGGTATGTACCACTTCTAAAGATTCTTACACTTTTGATGATGTACAAGAAGCCTTTAATGAACTTTTTGATGAATATGTCAACGCTTCTAAAATTAACAAGGATTTGAAGAAACAACTTAATTCCATGGAGAAGGAAGTTGATAAACTATCAAAAGATAATGAAAAACTTAAAGAAGAAAATAAGTTTTTCGGAAAAAGAAGCGCCGACAAACCGGAAAGTTCAAAATGTAGTTCTTGTATATCACTTAAGGATCAAGTTGCAAAACTTGAAGGAACTTTGAAGAAGTTTGGTGTTTCTCATAAAAACCTTAATGATGTTCTTGATAATTTGCAACTTACTAAACATGGCTTAGGATT